AGGGCCGGGAGGTGGAGACCCAGGCCAAAGAAAATGAATTGGTGAGAAGGTGCTATGAAAACAGCCGGCAGGTCAGACGAGTGTGATCAAAGGTTTACTGATGCTGCGTGAAAAAAAAAAAAAAAAAATCATTAAGAAAGGCCAGAACAAGACAGTCAATTTCAACCAGAACCACAGATAAAACACATTCAAAGCAGTGCCATGAGGGTAGCCCCTCTGATACAGCCAGATAAATAAAGAAAAAGCTGATGACAGTAAGAACAACAACAACAGAAAATAAGACAGTGATGTGAAGGAAAAAGGCACTTCTTACCCAGTTCAGTTATCATTAGAATGTGGGTTCCACTGTTTTTTTCCTGACTGATTGAAACCAAAGGCAGAAGTTTGCCAGGCTTAGCTAATAAGTAAAGTATTTAGGGGGAAAAGAAAGTACAGAAAGAGAATAAAGTAAGGGAAAAAGACAGGTAAGGCTTTAAAAAATAAAACTGAAAAGGAAAATAAAAGGACAAAGGACCACAAATCAAGTTTGTATTTGCCATGAAAAAAACAGAACAGCTTCTGCACTTCACATCACACCACTTGACAACATAAATACCCACAGCTAGAGTGGAAATCAGAGCCTGGTTACCTACCATCATCATATTCTCAGGAGTAAAATGTCTCATACTATTATACAGAGTTTGGTTACACATGATTAAACAGTTCTGGACCATGAAGAAATAAACAAATGGCCTCTTACTATTGATTAAATGCACAGGAAATGTCTGCTCATACTTACCGTGGTTTTTTTCTTTTCTAACCTTAGCCCAAAGACCCCTGCTTATTTGTTACACTATGTACAAAGCATCTTGTCTGATAGAGTGTTTATTTAAGAAAATGGAGAAAACCCAAAGGAAAGAGAGAAATATATTTCAGTTATTCAAATAAAGTGAAACAACTGTTACTAATCTTTCTTTAGAGAGCATAATTCAAAACAGTTATCAGAAGAGAAAACATAGCAGTGTAAGATACAGTATAGGTAATTTTCCTGAGGCTGCATAACAAGGGAAGTGGGAAAAAGATATGGGAATGTACATGAAAGGGTAAAAGTTAGCTTTTCTTACCTAGCTCTGTTATAATAGGGATGTTGGCTCCTGTTGTAATGGAGGGTTGACGTAACAGGCCATGCACTGGACTGTTGTCTGGAGATGACCTATCCATCCCAGGAGGGGTAAAGCCTAAAAGAAAGGAAAAAAAAAAAGAAAAAAAGAGAAAGTTTACACAGGACAAACTATATAAAAAAAAAATCCCCACCAACAGGGAATTCTCTAATTTTTCTTTTTTTCCCAGAAAAGTATGTTAAAAAATTTGTCATTAAAAAAAAAAAAAAAATTCAACAATTATTTCTTAAAAGCATAATCCTTCACAAATACATAGGTCATTTCTACTGTAAAATAGCTAATGGAGAAACTGAAATTTGTTTTGTTATCCTAGGTAGCCTTTGCATCAAAACATGTGAAATGGAAAGAGTTAGGCTTATTTAAACATAAAGAAAAAAATAAAGACTTGAGTGTTAGAGAGGTTTAATTTTGTCCTATTAATGTTTCAAATATTCCAGAAACAAACACCTTTCCTTAAACCTCAGTTAACATTTTAAAGAGTATTGTTTGTAAACAGTAGTACAACCTGGAGGAACAAATTGCTTCATTAGCAGATTTTAGGTTTGATCAACATGGATTCAAAATTTTCTAACTTTTCCAGGACCAATACAACCCACATAATTTTTTTTTTTTTTTTCAGGTGTACCATTCATACTATGTATTTTTATGAGCACTACAATTATAGCAATATTAGGATGGAAGGGCCCATTCTAACAGAAAAAAAGAGGAAGGAAGCAAAAAGACACAGGTTTTCAAACTGTATGTAAGAGGAATTCTTGAAAAGAAACTAGAAAGCGTTTACATCCTTTGGGGATGTAAATGAAACAAAGGTGGGAGAGGAACATATTGGCAGGCACTCAAAATAAAAAAAGATCTGGAGAGCAGCAAGGTTCACCTCTAAAAAAGAGTATGTGTTCAGCCTGATTCTCTACAGAGTTTGAAATGGAGCTCTTGACACTGAGCATTTTTTAATCTTTTTTTTTCTTTTTCTTTTTTCTCTTTTTTCTCTTTTTTTTTTAATGAAATATATCCAGGGAAAGCCTTTTGGAGTTTGATTGTAAGTACTGAAAAATAGGCAGTTATACAAAAGTCTATGCAACAGTTGGACTGGAAATTCACAGTTGAGACTAATGCATTCCATCTCCCCTGTCCATTAAAGCTGCAGAAAGCCTGGGAATGTTCATTGAATGTCATTATTGCAGAAGTGATGGTGAAGCCAGAGTTTTACTTTAGGGTTTCATGTAGACCAATGTCAAGGCAGCATTTTAAAGCAAATATTTGTCTGTTGGGAATAAACACACATTTCTGAGAAAACATTCATTTTTTTGCCACACTATGCCTGAGTTCTTTGATTTCACACCTGACATAGAAGGACAGACTTTTGATCCTTTGTCATTACTGGTCTGAACTAGTTTTGAACTCTCCATATAATGATTCTAAATTAATCACAGCCAAATTAATTCCTCATGTAACTTCATTATGTTCTTGCTGCGTGGAAACTGTTTCACTGTGTTAAACTCATTGATGCATTCATGTGCTACTGAATTCAGAAGAAGATGATATGAAATTATGTACTTTACCTTTCTTCAGTTTGGGGACTAATTTACAAACCAGGAAATCTCTAAACTAAACTGTAGTTGTTAACATGTTGTAGTGGTTTTATATTGTGTTTCTGAGTGATTTGTGGTTCTTTTCCAGAGATGATTACCATCATTCTTAAACTGTTCCTAAACAAGACAAATTATAAGGACCACTAGATCTGGACTTCTTGATTTAATGGGATTTAAATTTTGGTTTGATATTCAGTTCTTTTCTCCCTATGTTTTTTCTACATCACATATAGAATATATATGTAACAAAATTAGAATCACTGAGAAGAGAGGCTTACTTAGCCCTCCAGATGGTACCAGTATGAATTTCCTTCTGAGTATCACGTGAAAGGTGATAGTGGTGTTAATGCAGTTATTACATTACAACATGAGGATTATAAGGACAGGATAAGTAAAAGGGAGTGAAAAGTCTGTGAAGAAATTCCTTAGGAGAAAAGAAGTGGTTGTGGTATCTTCAACAGGCATGCAAGACAAAAACATGGCCATAGGCAAACCTAAGATGGCAATAGAAAGCGATTCTATTGAATATTACTAGTCCATAGAAAATCTTTAGAAAGCAGATTTCTTAGAGACAATCGGAAATGTTGGCAATGTCAACAGTTGGTCATTTAATACTACTCATGCTGAAACTAATTCAGTAAGACCTGCACGGTGACATTGAGTTGCATTCCCAACTGGTATCGGTTTGCAGATGTTTCCTTGTGTCTGGTGCTGTGACTGATGGCCGTATTGGCTCTTTGAATGCTTACTTCTGCATGGCAGAGCCGAACATTTCTCAGACTCACAACATGAGTCTAATGGAGTTCCTTCAGGCACCACCTCATGAGTTAGAGGTAACCCTGACACTCTCACAATAGCAGGAAAATTAAAGTGGGACTCCAAACGGAGGGAATGCTATCTGAGGACAGGTGGGTATTAGTGTGACACCTCCTTCTGCAGCAGGCTCCGGTGTTTAAGTTTTGCATTCTGTTATGCTACAGGAAAGGCAAGACATGGCTTCTGTCACACTACATTAAAGAAAGCTCAAGTAGCTGTGGACTCCTTGAGCAGTTAAAGTGGCAGGCCCAGTTGGATACTCTGCAGAATTATGAGTCAAAATGGCAATAGCAAGACTTTTTTACACTCACTTATCTGAGAGCAGAGAAAGCTAATCTTGTTCCCATGCACCCTAGGGGCTGTACTGCTGGGAGCATCCCTGGAGGCCCTGCTTCTCCCTTTTTCCTGAAGCTTTTCTCTCCCCATGTCAGGGCGTACTCCCTAAAACATCCTTCAGTGAATCAAGCTCTTCAGATGGTAAGAGCACATCAGTATTTCCCTACTAGCTAAAAGCAAATTGAAGAAAGTTGGCATAACTGCGTCTAAATGTGCAAGTCCTTCTTGCCGTCTCAATGTGCACGCACACACAGAGGCACGCACACACGGACCATCCATCGAAGGCTATTTGTAGCCACCTCTCTAACCCTTCACATATTTGTCTTCCTAGGATGGTGTCAGAAGATTGAAGTAAATGTGTCATTTCTGTTAGACACAGACTGTCAGGAGCTCTGTAATTGCACACTGCACGCACAGTGCATTCAGTCTGAAATGCAGGAAGCATGTTAAAGGGATTTTGTTTTCTCCTTGAATGAAAAATAGACTCATGCCTTAATATTTTTCATCCTATGGTTTTGAAAGATGTGATAAATATCTGTTATCTTAATTTAATTTCCTTGCCTGTGCTTAATTCAGACACTTCCAAAAAATCCACTTTTTTAAAATATAAAAATCTTAGAATATTTTTGGGAAAGGAAAATTGGAGTGCTTGGGGATTTTGTGTGCCTATGTTTGGAGTCATAAGGCATCGTACACCCTCAGGTCACATTCCTGC